CCCTTTACAGCCACTGACCCCTACTGGAGAGGACCTGTCTCTGCCTGGCCTGCACCCCACATCCCTACCAGGTGAGGAAGGCTGAGGTCAGGGAACATTAGGACTGGGAGCAGTCTATGGTCACCCTTGTACCCCTTGGCTAGGAAATGTGAGCAGAATTCAGGAGGCTGAGATGGCCAGGATGCTGTACTCATCCTACCACATCTCCTCTGCCTCCCCCAGAAGGCTTGAGCCACTGGTCTCTGACGAACCATCACCCTAGGGAACAAATCTTCAACCAGGATGTGAGACCGGAACAGCTGCTGGAGGGAAAGGTATGACCCCTATTTGGGAAGGTATCCCTACCTCTTAGACCTTGGGCTTAGAGAAGGGTGGATGTGTCTATGTGAGGGTCTTTCCTTGAATTGTAATCAGACCTGGGTTGTTGGATAAGGGCATGCTAAGAATATTGCCAGGGTATGCTTCATCATCTGGGTTCTCTGGGTAGCTACCCAGAGTTCTTGCTGTTACAAGGAGTCCTTGACTTGAACAGAAGCAAGAACTAAGGTGCAAGAGTCCAAGGAATCCAGTCCATGGGCTCAGTTTGGACACTTCCTGGTTCTAACAATGATGATCACATGCCACTCTCTCCTGGTTTTCCTCCTACCTCTCTGACTACTCCTTCTCAGTCTTCTGAGTCTTCTCGTATATTGCATGCCCACTAACTGTAGGTGTACCCCAAGACTGTGCTAGGCCATCTTTTCTCTTGGTGAGTTCATCCACTTCTATGGGTTCCATTACCATCTTTCTGAAGATGACTTCTTGACCTACAGTGGTATGCAAATGAACTGGGACTAAGTAAAATAATTAAAAATTATTGACATGCAATAAACCTTGTAACTTTTTACATCTTTCAGAAGTTTTGAATGTGCTCTATATCCTCTTTTTGCTGCAGTCCCTTTTTTTCCATGATTTGGCATTAAATTCATAGGACTTTAACCCACACTCTGCAATTCTTCATCATGAAGCCATACTTTTTTTACATTGGATATTAAGTGTACTTGGACAAACAATTTTCCCAAGTCTAGCCTTGATTATTACCTATAAGTTTTCATTGGTTCTTAAATCTAGCAATTTCCCAGACTACTGAAGCATGTTTCTCTCCATCTCTTAGACACATGTTTTAACCTTTCATGGTACGTGCTAGTGTAAGGTCATGTTGCAGTATCCCATCTCCATCTGGAAATTTCTATAATTCTGGAACAGTTCTGTTTCTGAGTATATCAATATGTTCATCATTTCCTTGATGCAAATGAGACTTCTAGGCCCACTGGAAGTTTAAAAAAAATCCCCAAAACAGTTTTTTGAGTAGATGTTTTTGCAGTCTAATGAATATGCTCAGATATCACAGGGTCACTTTTACTTCTTCTAGTATTACCTTGAATGAAAGTTAAGTTTCATTAGTAAGTCACCTTCAGTACTCCAGTTTTTGTATTCTTGTTTATGACAAGCGTTTTTTCTTCATAGCAAGTTAGTATTTTTTACTGCTCTTTTCCTGTTCCTCCAACATAAAGAAGCCTATACTGCACTAGAAGAATCAGCAATAACCCCTTCAGCTGCCAGGCTCCTCTGAAGGTTTTCACTTATTTTCTTAGGTGTTTAGCAACAGTAGTTTGGCGTTGTTTTTCACTTTCTGCCACACTTTCCTTTCCACTTTGATGTAGCAATCCTGTTTTAAAGGATTCTTGAAATACTTGACATCAGCTCCTTCCTCTCATCCCACAAATCTAATAATTGCCAAATCGACAGCCAGTGATCTCTTATAATGTCTGGTTGTCCTTTAAGACTCAGCTTAAGTGCCACCTTCTACTTGAAGCCTTTCTTAGTCCCCCCAGCTGCTAATGTATCCCATCCCAAACCTATCTAGTATTCATTTTATATATATATATATGTATAGATAGATAGATTTAGATATAGTATCTGTTTATATGTGTACATGTTATCTTTCCCATTAAAGTAAATTCACTGAGGACAAGAACAGTTTTAATTTTCTCTTTGTAAGCCTGCACTTAGCACAGTGCTTAACACATAGTAAGTGCTTAGTAAATGCTTGTAGATTAATTGATTGGGTAAAGGGCAAAGCTACCCTTGGGCCGCTTGGGAGGGAATCTGAGGAGCAGAGCCCTCCAGTGAGCTGCCTTCCCTTCTCCCTGTCTTCCTTCCCAGGATGCTCAGGCTATTCACAACTGGCTGAGCGAGTTCCAGCTGGAAAGCTATACCACTCACTTCCTGCAGGCTGGTTACGACGTGCCAACCATCAGCCGAATGACGCCAGAGGTCAGTGCTGGTGGGGAAGGGCACAGGATAGGGAAGAGCCAGGGTAGGGAGGTGCCAAGAAACAGAAACTGATGAGCATTACCCCATGCACCAGGACCTGACAGCCATTGGGGTGACGAAGCCTGGGCACAGGAAGAAGATTGCTACTGAGATCACCCAGCTTAACATTGCAGAATGGCTACCTAGCTACATCCCGGTGAGTGGCTAGTCAGAACATCCTGGATACTGAGCCCAATTGCCCCCAAATGCCTTGGGGGGGCACAGTCCCCATCCCTTCCCTCCATCATTGGCACATTCCTCACACCAGGACAGATCAAAACAGGGGGTCACATGCCTAGAGCTAGATAGCATCTCCTATACTGGGCTCTGGATTAGGTGCTTATCCTGAGGCTTGCAGCTGATGGCCATTGTTGCAGGCGGACCTACTGGAGTGGCTGGGGGCCCTGGGGCTGCCTCAGTATCACAAACAACTAGTGAGCAGTGGCTATGATTCCATGGGGCTGGTGGCCGACCTCACCTGGGAGGAGCTGCAGGAAATTGGAGTCAATAAACTCGGTAAGCATGGTGAACCACCACCTCCAACTCCTAGCCACCCCAGGGACCTCCATCCAGCCTGCTACCTTCTCTGATGAGTCTGTCATGTTGCCCTGTGCCCCACTGTGTCCATCTGAAAGCAGCTGGGGGAGGGGAGCAATGAGAGTGCCCTCTCTTCCCGGAGAAGTCCTGGACTTGGAGTCAAAAGACCTGGGTTCAGGTGACAACTCTGTCACCTTACTCAACTGTATGATCTTGGGCTAGAGACTCATCTGTGAAACGGGGATTAAAAACACCAACCCTGGCTCTGACCCACACAACAACTGTGAGTGTAAATGAGATAAAATACACGAAAGTACTTTTGAAGTCATTAGGCACTAAACACACAGAAGGGATTTTTTTTTTTTTTTTTTAGTGACTAGACTAGGTGGCAGGGTCCTACCCATCCGGTCTGACTCTCTCTGCTTTCTTCTTCAGGTCATCAGAAGAAGCTGATGCTGGGAGTGAAACGTCTGGCAGAGCTTCGAAGGAGCTTGCTGCAGGGGGAGGGTCTGAGTGGGAGTGGGGGTGGGGGTGGGGGTGGGGGTGGGGGTGGGAGGCGAGTGGCAGGGGGTCCAGAAGTGATGGCTATTGAGGGGTTGGAGAATGGTGATGGCCCTGCTGGACCCCGGCTGGTCACCTTCCAAGCCAGTGAACTCAGCCCTGAACTGCAAGCAGCCATGGCCAGGGGGACCCCAGAGCCACTGACCTTGCCCCCAACCCGTTCTCCTAGCCAGGAGAGCATTGGGGCACGTTCTAGGGGTTCTGGGCACTCTCAGGAACAGCCTACCCCTAGATCCAATACTGGGCACCCCAGTCCCCCTCCAGAGAGGAATCTGCCAGAGGGTAACGAACACCCTTCCAGCAAGGACACACCCCCCTATATGCTCATGCATCCCCATAGTTCACCCCCTAGTCCGGCTCCTGTGCCACCTTCTAGTGTCCCCCGGGCCTTCTCCTGCCTGTCTGCTTCCCCTTCAACTCCTCCTGACCCTCCCCGGCCCAAACGCCGCTCCCACAGCTTGAGCCGCCCAGGATTGACAGAAGGGGAGGCTGAAGGACCAGTAGGTAGTGCCTTGGACAGCTATGCGACCCTGACCCGGCGCCCTGGTCGAAGCACCCTGACCCAGGTCAGCCCTGGCTCTGCTTTAACTAGGGGAGCTCCCCGTAGCCAGTCCTTTGCCCTACGGGCTCGCCGAAAAGGGCCCCCACCTCCACCTCCCAAGCGCCTCAGCTCTGTCTCTGGTACTACGCCTGACTCTCTTCTGTCTGGTGGGAGCCCAGGGCCCGAAGAAAAAGCCGTAGCATCCAGGAGACGCACGCTGAGTGAACCAGCTGGTCCTTCAGATCCCCCCAGCTCTCTTGCACCCGGGAGTCCTGCTTCAGACACGGAAGAGGAGCGGGGTTCTGAAGGGACATCCCGTTCCCGGGGAAGCTCTGGTGAGGGACTGCCCTTTGCTGAAGAAGGCAACCTGACTATCAAGCAGCGGCCCAAGCCTGCTGGGCCCTTGAACCGTGAGGTCTCTGTTCCCCCCGGACTTGACTTCAACCTCACAGAGTCAGACACTGTCAAGCGGAGGCCCAAATGTCGGGAGAGAGAGCCACTGCAGACAGCACTTCTGGCTTTTGGAGCTGCCAGTCCTACCCCAATCCTCTCGGCCCCACTGCCTTCACAGTCCACCCCTGATTCCCCGGCACCTCCCCCACCCAACACCTCGATTCCCACCCCTCCAGTTCCTGACCCTAACAACTCACTGATGCTTAACACCACTGCATCCTCCCTCTCCACCAATACCTTGACTCAGATTCCTGGTCCCCAATTGCCTGGGTCTGGCCTGGAGGACTCGGTGGCCACCCAGCAAAAGGGGGAGATGTCCTCAGCTCCCTCAGCCCTCATCAAGGTGCCAGTAGGAGGTATGAGCGGGTGACCTGCCTGGGGGTGAGAGGGAGGGGTATTATGAGTTTTGAGAGGTCCTTTCTCCTATTGCAGGTTAACAGACTGGCTTTTCTTTCTACTTAGGTGTATCTCCCAAACCTGTGTCAGTGGCTTGTACACAACTTGCATTCTCAGGGCCTAAGCTGGCTCCCAAACATGGTCCTCGTCCTGCCCCCCCACCAAAACCTGAGAATGGGGGAGCACCCATTGCTGCTCATGCCCAGCAGAGACTAGAGCAGACCAGCTCCTCCCTGGCAGCTGCCCTGAGGGCTGCTGAAAAGAGCATCGGTGTTGAGGAGCGAGAAGGGTGAGACATGGGGGAGAGGAAAGGGTAGGGAGTAGGTACAGTTGCTAGGATGATTGAAGATTAGAAGCAGCTACCAGTTCCCTCCACCGGCTCCTGGTATTATCTGCAGGAGCAGGGTGATAAATTCTACAGTACATAGATGAGGGCCCCTGGGGTTTTTCATGACACTGATCCTGTCCTCTCCCTTCCACCAGCCTTTCCCAACCTGCCAATTCCAAGCACATCCTGGATGATATCAGCACCATGTTTGATGCCTTAGCTGACCAACTGGACGCTATGCTGGATTGAGCTGAAACCTAGCTCTTCACACAAATGACAGCTTTGTTCCAGCAAGGAAGAAGTTAACAGTACACAGAGAAGGGCTGGGACCTGCACGAAGCAGGAGCAGAACTGGAGTGCGGCTTCCGTGCCTGCTCCTCCTGTAAGCCAATACCTGTCAGTACCACGGCTCCACCCCTGAACAGCCCCTAGCCTGAGGGGCAAAGCAAACTTGTTGGAGCCTGACAGGCTCAGGGGCCCCAGCTCTAGCACCTGGCCTTGTGTAATCTGACCTGATAGCTCTGCCCCCTTGGACATGGCCTCTGGGAAAAGCTTCCTCTCCAGGCTGTAGGGGACAAAGGCCTTGTGGTATTTTGTTCCTGCCCATTCCTATCTTCATCCCCAGCCAGTGTATCCTGAGAGGGGGCAGAGTAGACCTGACAGGCAAAAGAACTTTCCCCAGAAAAGCACGACTTCTTATGGATGACTGGAAGGGGTTCGAGATGAAGGGACGGTTAGGAGCAAAGTTCAAGCCCCTGACCTATCCGGGATGGTCTTCCTTGCTGTCCCAGTGCCTGCTCCCCGCCGGATCTGTGTGTGTATATAGAACATGTAAATAGGCCGTGCTGGGTATGTCAGCAGGGCATGGCACCTAGAAGCTATGAAGCCACAACCAGGAGCCTATCAGTCTCCTTACCCTCTTTCCCCTTCCCCCCACTGCTCTGACAAAGCTGCTGTGATGTTGGGTGTGGTACCCAGGCTGTGTTATAGGCCAACTTGTGTGTAATTCCAGATTTTTTTAAGCAGAGAGAAAGGTGTATATTTTAAATGGAATTTTCTCTATTAACAGGCAGGGAGGGGCTATAGCTACCTTGGACCAGAGAAGTGCTCTGGTTAAGTCAGTAGCCCCCTCTCTCTGACCATTAACCCCTTCCCAACACTAACTTCAATGAAAGACTCATTCCACTTGATGTAGTTGTGTTTTGAATCTCTCTTTGCTTCCTTAGCTAAGATTTCTCCCTCTACATGCACTCTGAATCCTGGGGTTATCCCCTACCCGGCCCCTTTTTACTCCCCATTAGATACCAGTCAATGACAGAAGCAATTTACAAGTTTTAATACAAATGGAGTTTTTACATTCATCTCCAAAAGGCTCATTTCTGATAGAAAATATACACCAGTAAAAACACTCTCACATAGGAAAGACATTGGAGGAAGGGCCGGGAACCCTGCCTGCAGTGGCATCCAGCTATTAGGGGTGTGGCCAGGGCTGCTCTCCATCTTCAGTCCCAGAGAAAAGAAGGCAGGAACTGCAGGCTCCTCTGTGAAAGCTTGGGGAGGGCTGGAGGGAGGCTCAGAAGCCATGCCCCAGCCCTGGGAAGACAAGGTTAAGGGAAGGGCCTGTGGCTACTGTCTTCTGTGGAGTCAGGGATGGGAAGATGAGGCAAAAGCCCCCCTACATTCAATATCACCACCTAAGGGGGAGCTCGGGAAATTGCTTAGGTGGGGCTACTGCCCTAAAGTCTGGGTCTATGCCGCATGGCTCAGGTGAGGGACCCTTTCTGCAAAGGTACATTTCATTCAAACATACCCCAAGCTGGGCTCAGAAAAAAAGCCCGGGACTGGCTGAGCCCCTGCTGGATTCTCGGACTCCTCCAAAAGCATGTGGTAAAGGGAGAAATGGAAGACTCTAGAATCTAGTAGGAACAGAGCAGGAAGGCTTGGCCCACAGGCCCTGAAGGCTCCTCCTACCTTGTATTAGTTTAAAGGGCCCAAGGACCATCACTCCAGTAGTTACAACCTGAATCCCCAAACATACAAGTGGTGGGGGATGAAGGGGACAGGTAGAACATCCCCAGGAAGGTGAGGATGGCTAGGCCAAAGGAACGTGATTGCATCCAGCAGCTCAGAAAGGGGAGTTCATGCCAAGCTTAGTTTCAAACTGTAGTTTCTGCCTCTTCTGGTATCGGACCCGGACCCTGATAGCACAAGATGGACAGAGTGATTAGGACACAGAAGGGGAACAAGGAAAGTAGGTGGGTCGAGTGGCAAATAGAGAAAGGCTCGGGTGTTCTTCCATTATGGGTCATAAGGAACAGATTTGGCAAACTGATCTCAGAGGGGGATGGACCTGTCTTGCTTCTCACCGGATTTCATGCAACTTCACAATTTCATTGGTGACTACCACAAGGATGAGGGAGAGGCAGCCCAGAAGCCAGGTTATCAAGGGCACATCTGCCAGGCCAAAGTCAATACCGCTGTCCCTGTTTGTCCAGAGCTGCAAGTCCACAGCTGTCTGCACAAGTTGCCCCAGAAGCCTGACAAAAGTAGGAGCAAAGATGTAGAGCCTGTGAGGTACAATCCTCACTAGCTCCCTATCTTTCAGTGGGAAAGAGTTGGTTATCTGTACCTGTGACCCCTGAAATCACAAAAGTCCACCTCAAACCCGGACTCAGACCCAGAGAGCTGATCCAGAACCCAATTCCCAAACTTCTAACAACAACCCTCAAGGCACCCCTCGACCAAATCACCACCCCAAAGCACCACCCCAAAGCTGACTGTACTCACACCACAGGCACTGTTACGGTCCACCAGAGATTGGAGAAGGGGCTCTTTCTCCACAAGGGCTTGGTGCGGTGCACATGGGTGATAGAAATGAACACTGTTGGGGGAGGGGTGACAAAAGAGCCTCAGAATCCCCTATTAGCCTGGCCTACCTACTCCCCATTTGACTCAGCCAAGGCAGCTACTGTCAGTCCTCATCTGGCAATACTGGAGGGACCAGGCCAGAAGCTCCCAGAGGTCAAGGACACTCACCAGTGTGTAGGACGATCAGGGCGGCTGTGAGTTTCTGGGCCAGCAGGAGCCCATTAGCAAAGTCATCAAACCAATTTGGAGCCATCTCGTCAAATCTGTCAAATCAGAAGGAAGCACAGCTACAAACCAGTGCACAGGAGGTAGGCAATAAGGAGTAAAAAAGGCAAAAAGGGAGACAGAGTCCTCTTAGAAGGTAAAGGAGCAGGGAGTCCCGTCACAGGAAGAGTTACCAGCGATGTAGGGGGTGAGTGGTGGGGCCTACCTGCTCAGCATGATAGAGGAACAGTTAGTAAGGTTTCGAGCCTGGGCACTCTCACAAAAACTCTGCAGGATGAAGCCAAAGCAGATGAGGCCCGAGCCAATGGTCAGGCTAAACTTGAGTAAGAAGCAGAGAAGAAAGTAGTGCTGGGTCTGTGGGAGAAGAGGGGCCATCATTCACAGGAGACAGGACCACTCCAGTCAGCTGACCCCACCCTTTCCTGCTCAGCCCTGAGCCAACTGAAGCCAAGAAACAGTCTGTTGACAGTGCTGAGGATGAAGAGTGTAAGAGCCTCTGATGTCCACTCATTTGTTGATCTAGGGGGACTAGATGGACTGCCCCCATAAAGATCTCCTTACCGTCAGATGCCTCCAGTTTTGTCCAATCTGCTCTACACCATCCACACCCCTATTGAGGGCTCAGAAAACCCAGGAATCAACTGAAATCAAGTGCAAAGGGGGTCTTGCCTCACCTACCTTCTTGGGAATGGAGAGAAGATTCTTCCCTGTAGCTACAGACATGACAGAGCTATGTGGAGGCTTCCCTAGCAGGGAGACGCTGCAAAGCAGACAGCAGGGTAAGGGGAGGGCTGGCTCCTTGGAGCTCCGCTTCCCCAGTTATCTTAAGGGATGACAAAGACCAGGCCAAAACCTCCGGGAGGGCAGGGACACTCACCATCCCCACCTGAATTGGCTCCAGAGCATCCCATCAGGGGAAAGGGGAGTAGGACATGAACCATTAGGAAGATGGGGTGAGGAAATGGGAAAGAAATTCCCAAAGGACCATGCACACCTGCCCCAGAGCAGCCACACCCTGCATGGTTCTCCCTGGAGCCCATGCTTCTTGGGAAGCACTCAGTCCCATTTTGGGATGGCACATGGCTTCTCACCTTAGAAGGGGATAGCAGAAACAGGACAGCCACAGGATGTCAGTGGTGCCCAGGAGTGGTGGCAATTGTACCAGGCAAGAAAGGAACTAGATGGAAGAAAAAAATAAAGAAGGATTAAAGAAATGAAAAAGGGGTTAAACCTTCAGGATCTGTGGCACCACCCCATCATAACCTAGCCCAGTTACTCTTATTTGCTGTACAGATAGGCTCAGGGGGATTTGGGGGAATGGGGGTCAGAGGACATGAAAGTACTTCACCAGACTCCCACCTTTATCTAAGCTACTCACAACCACAACTGTCCCTCCTCAGCCTTCTGTTTTCCTCCAGCGGAGCAGAAAGGCAATACCTATTGCCTTGCTCCAACCTCACCTGGATAACCACTAGAGTCAGTTGGCATTGCAACAGGAAGAGGAAGCACTTGCGAATGCCGTAGGTAGCATGACGAGCCTGCAGAAATAATCAGAACAGATCTATCAGTGGGAAGGAGAACTGATAGGTATGGGAATCAATCATCACTTCATCTAGAATAACCCTTACCTACCCTCTGTCCCTTGGTTCCTAGGCTTGTCCTATGCTCCTCTGGGCACATGGTGGAAAGCCTGAACCAAGAGCCAACAGGACAATTGTCCCTCTCACTCTAATTCAACAAAAACTTACACACCTGCTATCCTCAAGACGCCATGCTAGGCCCTAAAGAAAGATGAAAATGCTCGGTTCTGGATCCTCACCTGCTCAATGAGCCGGATGATACTGATGCTCTCTTCCTGCCGAAAGGCCATTGAGCAGGCCAAACTGTTGAGCTGCCCTGAGAGCTGCAGAGGAGAGAGGCCATCTGAGGCCTGGGCCATGCTGGTGCTGGTGGCATAGCCAAAGGTCTCCCAGGAACAGCGGGACGGATACAGGGGATCCAGGGCAATGCTGCTTAGTTGGGGGGAGAAAGAAGACATCAAGTCCTATCTTACAAAGATTTGCTGTTTCCTAGCAAGATTCTGGGCCTAGAACCTGTGCTCTCATTCCCTGACTGGCCACTCAAAATACTAGCAAACATAATCCAAGAACAGTCACAAGCCATGAAGTAGGTGAGCCCAGGTAAGAGTAGGCACCTTCCCATCACTTCTAACACTGCCCCTCCTGCCATCACCACCAACCCAATCCACCTGTGGTCTCCCTTGGAGATAGGGGCCAACCCTTGGGGTCATGTGCTAACATTCCGGCTCATCCAGACCTGATATCACTCTGCAAGAAGAGGCAGCTATTGCGCAGATTGGCAGAACTACCCAAGCAGCACGTCACCTCTCCATATTCTTGCATGATCTTAATCATCTCACACATGGCTGAAGAAAAAGAGAGGAGAAAGATACAGTCAACAATAGGCCTAGGAAACTCATTCACAAAACCCAGCACTGGATATTATGACATTCATGCAAGACACTCTTCTACCCCTAGGTCAGAAGGTCTAGGAGGGAGGGAGTAGGTAACCATGGCCCTCTGGGAGCCAGGCATACTCACTGCAGCTCCCACTGTATTAGCCTCTACTTACCATATTTACTTTCCAACTCACAGGATTCTAAGTTCTAATGACCCATATCCACCATAACACCCTCCCACAACCCTCCAATAAAAAAGCTCCACTGAGCAAGGCCCCTGCTGACTGGTCACAGTTCACATATTCCTCACAGACAAAAACCTGGAGAGAAGAGGGTTCAACAAGATGGCTTTGAATTAGGGGCTGTCTTCAAAATACAGGAGCCAAATAAATTTATTAAATAAACCATGTTTTAAAAACTGCTTTCAGATGGTCAATATATTATAAAGAAGAGGGAGGAAAACCAAATTAATACAAGTTAAAAATGAACAAGATGAAACCACAACAAATTTAAAAATTATCAGAACCTACTATAGACAGTTAAATGACAGCAAAACTGAGGATTATAAACAAAAATGTAAAATACCAAATTAGCAGAACATCAAATAGAAATCTTGAACAGTTTAACTCCAAAAAGAAA